CTATGTAACGGAGCGGTGGAAGGCGATGAAACAGTCGCGATACTAAATAAGAAGAGTATACTCTCATTCTCTCGAAACTTAGTTTTCTCTTAATTATTTTTTATAACTAATTTAAAGATTTTTATTTAGAGTTAGGTTATCTAGGTTTTGTAAGGTACTTTCAATAGATGTCACTGTATTACAATTGAATGATTTCGATATATTCACGTCTCGAAGCTTGATTTTCTTTGAAGGTTTCACTTCTTCTATCGTGTGTGATCTGCACACATCTGTTATTATTATTATTATTATTATTATTTTTGTTCGTTGTAAACTCTTGACAAACGTGCCGAACGACCTCATCCGACAATTAAATGATCATCGTTCGGTTACACGTTCGTTCTTTTCCCTCTTTTCCCTCTTCTCGTTCTCCTTTTATTATTAGTAGAGACAACGCGTTATATGAACGAGATAGTCGAGATAGTAGACATTCATTATGCCAAAGCATGCTAGTAGAGATAGGTAGACGTAAGGTAATCGTAGCACTGTAATTATCCACTTGACGGGTGTGCCGATCAACGTTTGTTATCATGGATCACCAACTCACGATCTTGACATTTCGTTAATTTGTTCATCCTTTATGATAAAATCGATCTATCCGATCAATCCTAAGATCAATCATAATTAAATCATTTTCGACAAGTGTTATAACACATTTGAACATACGTTAAACACTTGTCTAACATATGTTAATGTTTTATATCATTAAACACCGATCTTTTAACGATTCTATTACACGTGAACAGTCGTTAAGATAATACTATAAGAAGAAGTTGATTTTTTATCGACACGTCAATCAAAGCTTTTACATATCGTAAGACATTTTAACGTGACACCTTCAAGTATTTTCAATTGTTATTAATAATCGTTTTATTTTGTCTAAAATATTGTAAGTACATTATTTTTCTATTTTTATCTAAATTTTTTTTTGTAATATTTTCGTTTAGTTAGATCGAATAAGATTAATTGAAGTGAAAGTTTGTTTAGAATCAAAGTGATTTGAATATCGTGAAATGGACAAACGTGAAACGGAAGAACGTGAAACCCCGATGAAACGAAAATAATTAATTAATTCATAAAATTCAGTGTCACAATATGTTTGTTCACTAATAATTCCGAAACTACTTAACTTATTATCTTAATGAAATTTATTTGTATTTCACTTAGTGATTTTTTGTCAACTTAGCACATAGCACAATTTTTATCGCGATTTTTTCGAAGTGAAAACTTCTTTAGAATGGGTGTGATTTGAAAAAATGTAACGCAGCGGTAGGCGGCTATGTAACGGAGCGGTGGGAAACGATGAAACGGCTGCGATACTAAAGAAGAAGAGAATACAATTATTTTACTTAAACTTAGTTTTGTTTTTGATTATTTGTTATTATTAATTTGAAGATTTTTATTTAGAAGTTTATCTAGGATTTGTAAGGTTCTTTCAATAGATGGCACTATATTACAATTGAATTATTTCGATATATTCACGTCTCGAAGCTTGCTTTTCTTTGAAGGTTTCACTTCTTCTACCGTGTGTGATCTGCACACGTCTGTTTTTTTTTTTTTTAATTATATTGGTAAATCGTCATAAAATTGCAATACTTTTAAGTGCAATTCCATTAGAATTGAAAATCGAAATATCAAATTTAATCAAGTGAATCTAAATAAATGACTTTATAACTATTATCTATTTAATAATAATAATTTCTTTTGTTCTATGACAAAATGTCGAATGGTTTGTCCCCGAACTAATTTTAACTTCGATTCATTTGAATTAATTGGATAAACCTTCAAACAGTGTTAATACGTGGTCTGTAAAAGTTAACGATCCGCCACTGGCTTTCATTATCCTTATCACAAAGCGTCATGCTCGGGAAAATTAGAAGATTGTTGTTAAGAAACTTTGATGAGAGTTGTTCTCTCTTGTTATTAAAAAAAAATCAAAAGGAAAAGTATAATACGCGTCTTGATTAATTCAGTTTTAATATTCTCTCACTAAGGGATTTAAAAAAGGAATGAAATTATTAGATTCTATCTTCATCATCATCTTTTACTTCGTTAACAAGTTAAATCGAACTTATTACAAATAATATTTGTCTATTTCGTAATTTTGTTATTTAACAACAACAACAACAACAAAAAGTAATTTTTATTTTCTTGATAACAATCGTATTCCTATCTCACCTAAGATTTAATGACAAAATCAGCTGACTAACATAGATCCGGTCGTAAATCAATTTACAAGTGTTACATGTAACGTTATCGTCATTACCATCATCATCATCATCGTTGTCATGATAATCATAATTATCATCATCATCATCATAGTAGTCGTCATAGTCGTAGTTCTTATAGTTGCTTTGTATCTATGACTAAATATTATCTCTGTTAATTTTTTTTTTTTTTTTTTTACATATTTTCAACACCATATTTATTATTTTTAAATAAATTTTGTCTGAGTAGCATCTGTTAAAATAAATAACAATTAACATAAAGTTTACTTTAGTAAAAGATAAGATTGATCATTATTAATTCTAGTTATTGAAGACAGAAAATAAATAAATGGAAGAAATGTAACAAAATTGTATTTTTTAACCAATCGGAAGAAAAGCAAACTTCGAAAAATTGACAAAATCTAAATCACGATTTATAAAACCACACAACACGTCACTTCGTGTTACGTAAGCAATATTTTTCTAAAAAAGATATGAATTTAAATGTGATTTTAAATCAACATGTTTCATTTTGCAAATGAAAAACAAAAAGAAAACAAAACTAGCAAAAAGATAAGAGAAAGATTGATAAATCGTTGATTAATAATTTACGCATTGTAACCATTTTTCAAATGATTAATATTCAAACTGGTCGTCATATTTTGCGATAATTATAAAAAAAAATACTTCACGTTTTACATTTATCGAAATTACGAGTAATTAACTGACACCAGAAAAAAAAAATAAACAGATGTGTGCAAATCACACACGGTAGAAGTGAAACCTTCAAAGAAAACCAAGCTTCGAGACGTGAATATATCGAAATAATTCAATTGTAATACAACGCCATCTATTGAAAGAATCTTACAGAACTTAGATGAACCTCTAAATAAAAATCTTTAAATTAGTAATTAAAAATAATACAAAAAAACTAAGTTTCGAGAGAATGAGAGTATTCTCTTCTTATTTAGAATCACGACCGTTTCATCGCCTTCCACCGCTCCGTTTCATCGCCGCCTACCGCTCCGTTACATAGCCGCCTACCGCTGCGTTACATTGTTTCAAATCACACCCATTCTAAAGAAATTTTCACTTGAAAATGTTGTTTATTCAATTAAAACGCACACAATGTGTTTCTTTTTCAAAAGAATTCTAGAACATCTATGATAATTATTATACTAATTTAGTTTTCATAAGTTGTTTAAATATAAATAGTATTGTCATGTTCTTTCAAAACAGTGTCGTCCATTGTTCGAACAAACGTCGATCGACATCCTCTTCGTTATTATTGAAACCTTTTATACTGGGTGTTTAAACTCCTACGTAACTTTGCATCTGACAAACCATCGAAAACAACATTTTACACATTTTGTTGCTTTTTCTTTTTATTTTACTTCCATTTGCCAGAAGACAAAGTTGCTTGTCTTGTGTTCTCTGTCCTTGAGATTTTGTTATAAAAACAACTTTCACGCTTCGATTAAATTCAATTCGTTTCGTTCATCGAACGTGCATTCACATTTCATATCTGTCAGATTTTATTTTCCTGTCATTCATTTCCCGAAGAAGTTGGTTGGTTGGTTGATTGGTTTACGTTGACCTTGATTTTCTTTTCGAAAAAAATAAGTGTCCATGAATTATTCTAACATTAATGACAAATTACTTGGTGATAAAACGTGAGTGTCCTATCACATTATTATTATTATTATTATAATATTTTCATATTTTTATTGATTTCATTAATTTTATATCTATCTGTAGAAATAATATGACAATTTAATGTGCGTGTGTATAAATTAATAAATTATTAAACAAAATTGTTTATTTTTAAAAATAAAGTCGATCTTTTTTTGACCATCCAATGTTTCAACAGCGCCCACTTATTCTGTGTTTGACGACTATATCCGTCATCGTTTGATTATCGCGACACACACCAGAGCGCACTCTCTGCGCGACAGAACGCCCCCACACACTTTTAACTGGTTAAAAAAACGTGGGTGGAAATTTAAAATTTATATATGTCAGGCGGTTTTTTTTTTTTTTTTTTTAACACGAACTATAATAACTTAAATTACGTACGATTATAATAATTATTACACGATAAAAGATATAATTAGAAATAGAATATCACAACTGTTGTAGGATATAATTATTATATTTCATGTTACGTAACATCCTTCCCTATCTTTTAATACAATCATTTTCTCTCTCTCTCTCACACACACTCTCTCTTCAATATCATATAATAGAACGAGTATTATGATAGACACGTACAAACACATATGTCAAAAACAATGAAATATACGAGAATAATGCAATAGGTAAAATGAAAACTTTATTATACTCGTGTGTACGATAAACTGATTAAAAAAAATAACTGGGTTGTGAATGAAATTCGAAACAAGTAGAAAATTGGTAGACTGGTGTAAACGGATGAGTCAAAGAACGTCAGACGTTTTCCTACAAAGGAAATGAAATGATTAAGGGTTATAGTAGAGTGCAGTGCGTTGACCGTTATTGCGTGTACGAATAAAAAGACAATCAACTTGATCTTTGATAAAAATTGAGATATTTTTTTTTCACGATTCCTTGACAAAAAAAAAAAAAAAGAAAATGATTAAACATTATACAAAATGATCCAAATTTATACAAACTTTCACATTATTTACAAATAATCTCCCATTTGTTGTTGAAGCATTTGTTGAACAAGAGTGAGGAATAAAAACTGAACGATTGTAATTTTTGTTAATTTGTCAGATCGTGGATGCAGCCTGGGATTGGAGTAGGTGATGGAGGGGGTGGTGGCAGTAGAGGAAGAGGAGGAGGAGGGGGTGGTGCAAACCACGTGGCTGGAACAGCCGACGATGAGGCACCGAAAGATCCAGGTGCTCGTATCACTCATCAATCCTACACCGAAAAGGATTACGAAGGTAAGATATCTATTTATTGTGAAATTCAAGGTCTCAGCCCTAACCTAGAATCCAAAAAGAGGGGGTAGTATGAAGGACTACCTCTTAATCGCTAATAATACCTTTCTACGTGCATAGGTCAGCCGTTATACGAATATTTGGCTTCGTTGTTTGCTCACTTAAGACAGTAGGTGCTTCAAAAATCGTTATTTCTCTTTCTCTCTCTCTCTTTCTCTGTGTTTATAATCATTGGTCGGACGTGGATGAACGAATTCATCTAAATTAGGTCGTTTTCGGTCTAATGATTTTTAATCATATTGAAAAGTAACACCACATATGAATATACACCCTTATATATTATATACAGATAGCATTTCTATAACACGGGATCCTATAACATGGTTTTGTCATAGCATGATTCATAAATTTCTGTGAAACAAACCTATTTTGTACAACACTGTACTCTGAATAATATAATTTTTACTTAACATAATAATATTATTATTATTAATTGGTATTAGGAACTCTTAAGTTCGTTATATATGTATATTGGGACCTCTGGCGGAGGCGTTGCGTAGCAATTCGACCTATTTACTCTAATTTTGAATTTAGCCACCAGATAGCGTATTCAAGTGCTAGAGATCCCACGTGGTGTAACAATTCGACCTATTTACTCTAATTTTGAATTTAGCCACCAGATAGCGTATTCAAGTGCTAGAGATCCCAATATTAGGTAGATCGAAAAGTATATTGTCGCTTTTGAAATTAATTATTATAACTAAATTAATTAATCACGTTATTAACAACCTTTTCCAATATCTGGTATGCAACATTTTAAATAAAATCATCAATCATTTTTTTTTCATTTAAAATATTAAAAATAATTTGACATACGTAGTAACGACATTACTTTTCGATCCTCCTAATATATTACACTAAAGTATTATAATATATTTTTGAGCTGGTGTATATTAACTTTTAAATATGATATTTATCGAGTTTTCCTTTTTAAACATAGGATAATGTCAGATTACTAAATATATCGAATATTCGATGGTAATAGAAATGATATATATATATATATATATACACTGTTAGAATTATCCGAGCATAATTGTTAATCACGGAACAACACAACGGGTTCGACATAGACGACTCCACTCTTTCATCTGCTTACAGGTCACCGAGCACACACGGTCTATGTGGGTGTACATTTACCCGGAGAGAGAAGACACCGTCGTCATCATAAACACCATCATTCCCAACGGCAATCTTATGGGGAAAGTAACGATGATACCGACAACGATAGACCCAGTAAGTCGAATTATTTTTATTTATTATTATTATTATTATTACATTCATTTCATTTATATCTTTTTCTCTATACTTCTTTTTTTTTATACTTGCAAATTAGATTTCTCCTAGTCGTCAATTTAATTTTTCAATTTAATTGAAAGCAAAAGTAAAAATAAAAATGGCGCTTTGTTTTTTTGTCAAGGGCTTGTATGTACGTTACGAAGAAAGTTTTGAACGTTTTTAGGGTTAAAAGAATACGAAGAAGAAGATGAAGCATATATATATATATATATAAACGTTAGAAGTAGAGAAAGATGAGAAAAGAATGAGATAAGAGAGAGAGAAAGAGAGAGAGAGAGGATCGTTGCTCTTCGTTGCACTCGTTGCACTCGTTGCAATGCACTTTGAAACGGCGCGTGGCAAAGCGCCAACCACTTGTACGAGACTCGGACGGGTATTCACCCTTCTTCTGGCACACCGAGTATGCAGGACGCTGATCGATACGCTTCCCTCTCTCTCTCTCTCTCTCTCTTTCTCTCTCTTTTCATTTTTTCTCTTTTTGTCTTTTCTTTTACAAAAAGACTTTTCAACCCAATTCTTCGAGTAGGTTGTCGTAACGGCTTTCCACTTTCTTCTTCCTCCCTTTTTTTTGTCTTGTTCCTTTTTTACTTTTCCCTTTTTCCATTTTCTTCCCCCCCTCTATCTCTCTTACTCTCTCTTTCTCTTTTTTCCTCTCTTTCTTTCTTGTTTTTTGTTCTTAACAAAATAAAGAAGAAACAATACGTGATGCAAGAGTCAAGCGTTGAAAATCGATCGAAAAATCAATCAGAAAGTTTGTACTTATTAAAATTACTCGTTAGTTTAACACGATTGGCCGCTTTTATGCGCCTAAGTAAGTTCTTATAATAGTATATAGTACGTTTGGTATTGAAAATAAACTTTAACAGAAGAGATACATACGATCGTTGTTCGTTTACAGATGAAAAACGAAATTGTGCGTAAAAGTGGACTCCACTTCTTACCAACCCTTTCATTCCCAACCTTTACACCCACCCCCCGATCGACCTGCAACTTCCTATCTTCTTCAAGCTCGATCAACGAAGAACGAAATGATACAAGAGAAAAAAAGAAGAATTTGTTTGATAGACAAAAGAGTAAAAAAAGTAAGGTTAGAATTCGAAATCGAGCTTTTAGGAGAATACAAAAGAGAGTTTAGAGAGTTTGAATTTGATTGTTCGTTTTTTTTTTTTTTTTTTTTATATAGAGTTGTGTAGATGTTTCTTTGTTGTGTTTTTTGTCTACTGACATTGCAGGACAATTGGTGATGAAGCGCAGGGCTCGTCTCGCGAGCATTTGCGACCCCGACGGCGAAATGATATGTAAGCCAGCCATTTTCAAAAATGTCTCCCAAAATTATACGTATCATTTTATGCACGTATATATACACATATATACATATTATATATATATAATAAGTATATATAATTATAATTATTATGACCTCGTACCATTATGCTCATCACTTTTTGTTCTATTCGAATTATCGTTTGATTATTATTAACAATATACAACCATCAATGCACTAATTTGATTACGTCATATTATTCCATACACTGAGGTAAGAAATTTTGGTTAATTATGGGGTAAGGGTTAAGTAAAAAAAAAGAAATCAAATATGAAAGAAATTACAACGTAATACCTGTTACGTTGTTTATTCTTTGAGAAAAATGAAACAACAAAAAACATGCAATAACATTTTATCAATGTATTAACACGTTCGTCGCCATGTCACCATATACGGTGACGGGTATGCTTCCTAAGGGAGCTTCGTCATTGCATACGGTGACGCTTTTTTTATAATATTTTTATATTTTATTCATATTATATTAAATCAACGAATTAACTTATACCGTCATCTGTTAGAATCTTATCGAACTAACAGAGATAATCATGATTCTTCGTTAATAAACAAATAATTCGATTATAAATTGAAATATAAACTATCCTATCTTTCAAGTTGAATGAAACTGCATATAGTGTGTAAAATTTTATTAAAATCGGTTTAGTAGTTTAGGAGTCCATTGCGAACAAACAACGTGACACGTAATTTACGTATATTTACGTATTATATAACGTATTTACGTATACACGGGCTGGACGATGAACGTGTTAAGCATGCATCTCACTCGATTGAAAAATGTTAAAACAAACGGGGGATGATTTTTTATTTAAATATCAAATTTCATTTATACGTGGGTGTGTAACTTGAAATGATTTTTTCTTGACACATTATTATTTCCATAAATATATATTTTGCACCACCATTGAACTATTTTTATATAGGAATATCATTTTTCTTTCACTTTGATACGTAACCAATCGAAAATTCATCCAAATTGTTGTATTTTTTTTTTTCTATGTGTGTCATAAAATTCATCGATTGCACGAATTGAAACTATCGCAGATAATTTATTGGATTGTTCAACAAGTAATTACAATTTTGTGTTTTTTTTTTATTTCAATGGTAAATAAAAAAAGGTGAATTTTATTTTTTCGTATTCTTTTATAAATATAGAAAATCTAAAGTATTTTTTTTTTTAAATGATCATTAAAAACTTCAAACTTAATTACTTTTCGAACAAACGAATAATAAATTGCAAACACTGCACGATAATTTTACAAAAAAAAAAAAAAAAAATAAAACATAATTTCACTTTGTTTCAAATTTTAATCGATATTTATTTAAAAAATCTCGTTGTTTTATGTATTTTATTATTATATTATTATTATATTTTTGTTTCAATCTGAATCTCTTTCTCTCGTGTACTACGTGTACCACCATCTTGCTTTGTTTTCTCAATTTTTGTTTTCTTCTTCATCTACTTTAACAAAATTTTTTTTTTTTTACTTTTCTTTCATATCAATGAAACGTACGTACGTACGTACGTACGTACCATCATTGAAAAACGTAATATCCGTTTTTTTTTTTCAGTCACACCACCGGCCCAGAGAGTGCAATTTATTCTCGGCGAGGAAGTCGGGGACGATGCTCACGAATCGCATCCTCTATTTTCCGAAATGGAAGAACTTGTCAAGGATGGAGATGAAATGGAATGGAAGGAAACCGCTAGGCAATGCATCATCATTTATTTATACCAATCTCGACCAACTATTTTTAATTAACTCTATGCAATCCTATTTATACATATATATATATATATATCAAAATTAATTTTAATCATAACAAGTCATCTATTTAAAAAAAAAAGAAAAGAAATTGTTTAGTTTTCCTTTACAAATTTTCATCAACTTCAATAAGCCATTTGATTTCTTTGATCGATACAATTGAATACGATTTAATATTGAATATATCCAATATTTGATTTGATCTTTTTATGTTTTTATCTTTCTCACAAATAGGTGGATCAAATTTGAAGAAGATGTTGAAGAAGGTGGAAACAGGTGGAGCAAACCACACGTAGCAACGTTATCGTTACACTCGCTCTTCGAATTGAGAAGTTTGCTTTTGAATGGAACTGTTATGCTTGACATGGAAGCCAACAGTCTTGAACAGATAGCTGATCTGGCCTTGGATAACATGATCAATAAAGGTTCACTACCGATCGAGACTCGAGAAAAAGTTAGAATAATTTTCAATACAATTTCATTGTTCATATTCAATTTATTCAAGTTTGATCAAACTCATAAACTATTAATTGGTTTTTTGTTTTTTTTTTTATTATTATTATCAGGTAAGGGAAACACTTTTGGTGAGACATCGACATCAGCACGAAAGACGCAAGGACAACAATATGTCGAGATTACCGATCATCAGATCTTTGGCAGAGATTGGTCGCAATCATTCGTCATCTAAGAGTAAGTTTTTGTTTTTTAATCCTATTTAATTATAATAATATCAATGACATTTTTATCTTAATAAGAAACAGGGAAATATGATGTATATGTGTGTTACAGTCAATGTATTGAATCCATGGGCATTGTATAGATTGTTCAAACAATTGTTTTGGGTAATCTTTAAAATATGCTTCAATAAACGTTTCTTCTCGTTAAGTTCTTGTCAGGGATTTTTCAAGATTGTGTCTTCAATTGTTCTTGTAATTGTAAAAGGGGGAATTTGAGAACATGTAATTTCATTTTCTGGAATATACAAATTACAAATTAAAATCTAACCTATAAAATGTGTCCTATTAGATTAACTGCATTTATCGTAGCATATATATATATATATAAATATATAATACATATTTATTTACAAGTTAATTACTTGACCATATAAATCCGATGATATAATCGTCTTACGTTAAATAACATCCACGAAAGAGACGACAAACTTTTAACGATACTCGGGTATCGTACTTTATCAATGTTTGGAACGAAAAAAAAAAACAAGATTTATACGCACGCGTACGCTGGGTTACATACTTTCAGGCGCTCGATTCATTTCACGCAAGAAAAAAAGAAGAAAAATAAGAAACTTCTGAATAAAGAAAGAAAAAGTCTAATTGCATTATTTAACCATTAATTTTTTTCCTCCTTTATTATATTTCTTTTACTTTTTTTTTTTTTTTATATATACATTACTTTATATTGTTCCTTTTTAAATTACTTTACTTCCATTTTGTATTTTCATTAGAAGGTTATGAATAAATTTCATTATATTTGTTTAAAACCTTCCCCTTATAATTAATGTATATTTCAAAAGCTTAATGGAACCTCGATGCAATAAAGAAAGAATCGGTAAACGAATAAAAAAAAAAAAAAAAGATAGAATTTTGGAAAAATTCGTTAAAGACAGGACCCACGGCATTTTCCAGAAAACGGCTGTACATGTGGTATGCATGCCTTGTTGACGTCAGATTTGCAGGAGCGTCGTGATCCCGGGGACGCCTATGCGCCCTCAGTTGGTCGTAGCAGCAGTTGTCCAAATTCAAACACGGCCCTTCTTTCGAAAGAAGCTAAAGATCTCAAAGGGCCTTACCTTCTGGTACCAGGTACAACGTAGGCCAGTTCCGCTAAGAGCCTGTTTATTGGTTTATTCACTGGGATATTCATTTAAATGCTTGAGTTCTTTTTTTTTTTTTTTTCATTGTATTTGTACATCGCGTAAACGCGTTCATCACGCTAATCGTTTGTTCATCGTATGATCATCGACTAACGTTATTTATTTGATTACTAATAAATAACAAACCCTAAAACCTAAACAACACCCTACAATTTCCTTCGAATTAATAGGAAGGTATCAACGATTGAGAGATTTAGGATTAAAATTATTATTTCGTGATTAATTTGTCTATTAAAATATAATTATTGACTTAGACGATTTTTTGTTTATGCGCAAGCCGAAATCGGCATACCCCACGTGGTGGGATTTACTGCGTGGTTCGCCATGTGTCAGCTGAAAGGTTAGACAGTGTTCACATTATATTTCATTATTGTGTATAAATATGAATTTTTGGATTATATACAAATTATGCACACAGGTCTTAATCTTTATCTTAAACACTCTATATCTTTTTTCTATTTCTTATTGTAATCCCGTGTAAAAATGTGTTCATACATTTTATCTCTGAATGGTTAAATATATATACATATGCATATATATATATACGTAGGTTGGAACTTAAATAATGACAACTATTTATTCACAACCGATACAAAAGAGTTACATGTTTGCACTTGTTACTGTCCTTCAATGTAGTCACCAGCGTTATGTAGAACCCATTGACTGCGATTTGGAAGGTGTAGTATACCCCTCAGCAGAGTCTGTTCTGTTGATGGTGCGAATCGAACAGTCTACTGCCATGTCGAATCTCTGAAACAGTTCTGAAGCAAATACCACGATAGGTTTCGCATGAATTGACGGAAATGCAGAAATGGATGCGTTACGACGCTGCTCAGATGCACTTGGAGCACTATGAGCGCGAATGAGAGGCTTTCTTACGCCGTATCGTAACACTGGATGAGACATGGCAGTAGACAGCTCCATTCGCACCATCAACAGAACAGGCTCTGTTAACGGGTTCTACACAACTCTGGTGACTACTTTGAAGGACAGTAACAGGTGCAAACATGTAACACTTTTGTATCGGTTGTGAATAAATAGTTGCCATTATTTATGTTTCAACCTGTACGTATATATTATAAATGTTTAGAATATAATTTTTTTTTGTTTTGATTATAGTGTAATTTATTAATCTTTTAGGTTCGAGTATGTTAAACATATATATATTTTGTTGTTTAATAAAATATTCACACAAAAGTTTCTAACACGAGTTGACTCACATCGCGTCTGACTCGTATCGTATTTCTCTACTTGCCAACTATGGAAACATTGCGAAACTTTAGGATCGTGAGAAGCATGACGTTTAGGTTTTATTGTGTGATGCGCACGTGATTCCTAAATGTATATCTTGTCTCAGAGGAAACAAATATATATATATATAGAACGGCCATTATTAAAACAATATGATTCTCTTAACCGACTAACATTTTCCACTTGTTTATTTTTGTTTCTATTTCTTTTCTTTCTCTCTGTTTTTTTTTTTTTTTTTTTTTTTTTTTAAATCAGAAGAAATGCAACGATTCGTAAAGAAACTCCTCGATCTGCATTAAAGTTCGTAAAGATCGCGTGCGTGTATTTCTGTGGCTTTTAAAAGCCCTTGCATAACAGTTGATGGTATCATCATCATCATCACAAACAAGGGACATCGTGTTTGAAACGGTTATTTTCACGAAGGACAATTTTGATTTCTAAAATATCGCGTGACTCTAAGTAGTTTTATTTTTTTTTCAAAATATACAAAGAAAAATAAAACAAGTGACGTGTAACATTAATTAAAATTTATTGAAAATTGTTCTCACCCGAGCGTGTCAAATCATTTTGTTGTTGTTGTTGTTGTTGTTGTTGTTGTTCGTTGACAATAAACCAATTAGATGATTTACTTGTATATTGGTATAAAGATAATTTTCTTATATTTAAATAATAAATTGTAGAAAAAAAAAAGAAATTAATATATGAAATAATAATAATAATAATAATCAAAGGTGTATTTAATCGGTAATAAGAAAGAAAGAAGATCACAGAGAGAGAGAGGGGGGTGAGTGTCACGGGTAGAATTGTATTATCTTCCTTTGTAAATAAAGAAAAATATCCTGGTGTGTGTTTCATGCTCATTTTTGTAGTGGAGGAATCAAATTCCGTTCCGACGATCGCCGGTGCAACAAATCAGACCGGTGGAACACCGATGAATGCTGGTGGCCGTTTCCTTGCCATTCCCGGCAATCCCGGTAAACCGCTTTTAATCTGCTTGCTCCCTTTTATTAATTAATGTTATCCCTATATATATATATTTGTCTATTTATTTGTTTATTTAAAATATTTGCTAACAATTAACACGTGCATACAACACCCTATCTCATATTCATTGCATATATCGCACAGCAACCATCTTTGATGTTCAACAATTTTTTCAAAACACTTGTCTGCTGCATTCTTTTCCTTCTGAACACACGCATACATATTCAAGCATATACATCTTTACATATATCTATATATATACATACACCGTTGCTTGTATTGCAATAATTTGTTAACTATCAGCATACTAATGTTTTATTTATTGTTTGGTAAAACTGAGAGACACTGCTGACAATGACGACGAGTTTGCTGTTGCACTCGATTTCTAAAAAAGAATTTTAATAACAACGGGGATTGGTTGGTTGTATCGTTGGTTGGTTCGTTGGTTGTATCGTTGGTTGGTTCGTTGGTTGTATGATTCTGTAAATATAAAATCTCGTTAAAGAGAAAATATACTCGAGTAGAAGATAAATTCAACTTTTTTTTTTCTCTCCTCCACTTTGAAATATTCTGATTTGAAAAGGGTCGTAGATTAACATTTCATGGTATAAACGTTGTTTATTATCTTGAGACTGTATTAACGTAACTATATTTTGACTTGAAAGTACAATGAAATTGTAAAACGACATTTAGCAAAGACAGGTACATGTTTTATCTTTGTAAATTCGTGATAAAAAAATGTCGAGAAAATTTACGATATGTAATAGAAGCAAAAAAAAGAAAAAAAAAATACAGTCTTTCAAAAAGCTGTTCCATCCTTGACATTTAACTCGAACGAAGTCAACGAAAGAACCACCCCTCCCCTCCCCTCCCACCCCACTCCAAACCCCCGTGAAATCGATGGCAGCAGTTACTCGAAACTTTTGACGCTTTTTAAGAAATAAAATACCAAAATGCTTTGTTTTGTCCAAGGATTCCGTTAGTGGTCTCTCATCTTGTTGTGAGATTAAAAATGATTCAATAAATATATTTGAAAATACACACAGACACACACACAAAAAGCAGTAAGCAGTAAGCTAGATGAATTTCAGGACAAGAACCAGGTGCCAACGGAATCGATCGAAGTCCTAGCAGCGTTTCGATTAGCAGAAATCATAGTTCTTCCGCTTTGGAAAATGGGGATGCCAATCATCGGGTTAGTTTTGGTTGCTTTCTTGTTATTTTTTTTTTTTTTTTAATTTACTGACAATTAAATGAATTTTTTTTTTTTTTTGAAATCGTAGGGTAATACACATTTTATGAGAAAAATACCAGCAGGAGCGGAAGCCAGTAACATTTTGGTAGGCGAAGTTGATTTTCTTGACAAAACATTGTCCGCCTTCATACGACTCAGTCAGGCAGGAATAATGGGTGATCTTACTGAAGTACCTGTACCAACGAGATTTATCTTCGTACTTTTAGGACCCATGGTATAATATTAAACGAAAATAAAAACAAAACTTGAGTGAGTATTACGAGTATTTGTATGATTAAAAAAAAGGGATATATTACGTAGGGTGGAATTTCGGGTTTCCATGAAATTGGACGAGCAATGGCAACGTTGATGTCTGACGAGGTCTTCCACGATGTTGCATACAAGGCCAAAAATAGGAATCATCTTCTTGCCGGTATCGATGAGTTTCTTGACGCTGTTACCGTTTTACCACCTGGCGAATGGGATCCTACGATTAGAATCGAACCACCTGCTGCCATTCCGTCGCAAGTAGAGCGTCTTTCTTTTTTTATTATTATAAATCATTTTATTTATTTTATCACGATATTCCTCGTAATGATATTAGTTTTATGTTATCACGGTTTTGACAGGACGTGAGGAAAAGGCCGAAAGAGGAAAAACCTAAGGAAGAAGCTGACGAGGAAGCTGACGAACAAAAGCAAAGAGAAGAATCTGGTTTGTCCAGATCGGGAAAATTATTTGGTGGGCTGATAAACGATATCAAAAGAAAAGCGCCATTTTACATTTCCGATTTTAAAGATGCATTAGCATTGCAATGCGTAGCGTCCTTCATTTTCTTATATTTTGCGTGTCTCTCACCAATCATCACTTTTGGTGGTCTACTCAGCGAAGCTACTGGGAAAAACATGGCCGCTATGGAATCCTTGGTATCTGGTTTCGTTTGTGGACTCGGTTATGGATTTTTCTCCGGACAACCATTGACAATTCTTGGATCAACCGGTCCCGTGTTGGTCTTCGAAACTATTGTATATGAATTTTGCAAACAATCCGATTGGAATTACATGTCATTTCGTTTTTGGATTGGCACCTGGACTGCCGTCATTTTGTTAACCCTCGTTGCCCTTGACGCTAGCGCCTTCGTTTGCTACATAACACGTTTTACCGAAGAAAATTTTGCCACCCTCATCGCTTTCATTTTTATTTACAAGGTGAGTTATATTAATTAATGTGTGTATGTGTGTATGTGTTTGTTATATTGCAACAACAACATATAGGATACACGATGAGCTTAATTGGATATCTTAAAGTGTGCGTGCTTGAAAAAATTGCACCATCAGCGAAAACCTTCGACATCTAGGTCGACCGTGGTCGATCGAACAGTTCGGGCTTCCAAATCACTGCTAACCATTTTATACATATATATATATATATATATATATCAAATGTTTTCTTCTTCTTCTTTTTTTTCTCGATCAAATGCAGGCTGTGGAAAATGTCCTCTCGATTGGCAAAAAGTATCCCATAAATACTCACGCCAATGATCACTTGGCATACGATTGTTGGTGCAAACCACCGAACGATAGTTCGCTTTATGGCACTGAGAACGTCAATTGGACGAATTTGAATCGGACTACGTGCCAGGTTTGTAGAAAAAATCTCTTTGATTATTATGATTTAACCGATCAAAGATTACAAACTACCGGTTACCTTGATAATAAATACAAGTATTGAGATACGATATTAAAAAGGGAATATAAAAAATATCAAAAGAAAAAGAAGGCTGATCCTTTGATATGAAAGGAAACTTTACGAGAAGACCAACTTCATTATTGCTTCTTTCAGAATTACAATGGCACGTTGATGGGAGATAGTTGTAACATACAACAACCTGTACCCGATGTGTTCCTCATGTCAATTATCCTTTTCATGGGCACCTTCTTATTATCCGTCGAAATGAAGGACTTTAAGAATGCTCTTTTCTTTCCATCTAAGGTATTTTAAAAACAAAGTAGTTAATTGAAATATCATGTTTTTACAATTCTGAACAAAATTGTCTTTTGTTTTTTAGGTTAGACAAGTGATCAGCGATTTTGCCGTTATAATAGCAATCTTTTCGATGTCCTTGTTGGATCACTTCGTGGGTATAGCAACGCCAAAGTTAGAAGTACCTGAAGAATTCAAACCCACCTTGGATGGCCGGGGATGGATGATTTGGCCTTTTCAGAATAATCCATGGTGGAGCGCCATCGTGGCTGTTCTACCAGCTCTCTTGGGCACTATATTGATCTTTATGGATCAACAGATCACAGCTGTGATCGTTAATAGAAAAGAAAATAAATTAAAGGTAATAAAATACGTTCGTATTAGGATTACCACCACCACGATCACCATCATCATCATTATCATCGTTAATCATCATCATCATCGTTATTATTTGAATCAACAATAAAATTAATCATTAAAAATATGAATGATCGTTCAGAAAGGATGCGGCTATCATCTGGACCTGTTTATCCTTGCGATCCTGATCGAAATCTGTTCGGTTATGGGATTACCATGGTTCGTAGCTGCTACGGTGCTATCGATAAATCACGTTAACTCGTTGAAATTGGAATCGGAATGCGCTGCCCCAGGAGAAAAACCACAATTTTTAGGTGTCAGAGAACAAAGAGTCACGCACATACTGATCTTTTTAATGATCGGTTGTTCCGTTTTATTGACACCTATGTTAAGACACATACCAATGCCAGTACTGTTCGGTGTCTTCCTTTATATGGGTGTTGCGTCATTAAAAGGATTACAATTCTTCGATAGAATACTCATCATGCTTATGCCGGTGAAGTACCAACCAGATTATATGTTCCTTAGACAGGTACGAATTTGATTTAATATTTACAATCATTTATTAATTTGTTTTTTTGTTTATGATTATTCGAATAATATTATTCATAGGTGCCATTAAAACGCGTCCACATTTTCACTGCAATACAATTGACCTGTCTGGCATGTCTTTGGATCATCAAATCATTCAGCACTACCTCCATTTTATTCCCATTGATGGTAAAATCTATATTTCAATTTGATAATATAAATATATTAATAATAATAATAATAATAATAATAATATAATATTGTAATGATTTGTTTAATTTGTTTGTATTAGCTCGTGGTTATGATAGGAATTCGAAAATCATTGGATTTCGTTTTTACACAACGCGAATTGAAGATACTCGATGACGTGATGCCAGAACCAAGCAAGAAACATGCCGACGATCTTCGCCAATTGGAAAGCGGCGAGGTTAGCATCGTCAGACGAATATTTAGAAATTTATTATGTCGTAAATAGCGTACGAGAAGTGACCATCATCAGGTTGACAATTATCCTGTGGTCACTATAACTATGTGCGAATACGATAGATCTAATAATTTAGATCGACAATAGGATTATTAATGATCTAAATGATCCTCTCTCTCTTTATGGCCTTTTAACGAAAAAAAAATAAAAAAATAAAAAAATACAAGGCCTTGAAAAAAAAAACAAAGATAATATAATATTTAGATAAATTTGTATAGGTAAGATAATAAGTGCTCCGAAAAAAAAAAAATATAGTCTAATAACAATTTTTCTTTTGAGCATAGAAGAATTCATTAGGACGGTAAGAACATTTCAAAGAGACGTATTTTTTAAATTATTTTAACACCAATACCTCGACAATTAATAATAATGAATTCTTTCATTATGATACGAGTATCGTAACATAGAAGTTACATTTGTACAACCCATGATATGGGTTGGTGGTAACGAAAGGATTAAACGTTTACCAAATTTTATACGAAAGATTTACATGTTTTAACTTTCCAAGTCAAAATTAATGGACCTATCGCTTGTATTCCTTAATCGTTTATATATACACACACACACATATATATAAATATATATATACGTCTTTAAGTCAACGAATTACATTATACCGCCCTCTGTTAGAATCTTATCGGACTAACAGAGATAATCATGACTCTTTGTTAATTAAACAGATAATTCGCGATTAATAAAATAATATTGCAATTATAAATTGAGATATAAACTATCCTGTCTTTCAAATTAAATGAAACTGCATACAGTGTGCAAAATTTAATTCAAATCGGTTCAGTAGTCTAGGAGTCCATTGCGGACAAACAATGTGACACGTAATTTACATGTATTAAGATATATATTTTGTGTGTGTGTGTGTTATTTCTTCCAATTGACCAATAGAGTAATATTAACAAACAAACGAGTAATGCACAACGATCAAGGTCATAAATAATTTCTAAAAAAAAATATAGATATATAATTACATTGAAAAAATACGTAATAGGTAATAGTGTTTAATTAGCTTCGTATTAGGCGTGTTCATACAAAATGGCCAACAACGATGTTATTACTGTGTTATTGTTGTATTAGAAACTAATTAGGTCAATAATATATATATACATATATTTAATGTTGAACGCTTTGATAAAAAAAAAAAAAAAGAATCTCGTTAACTTGAAACAACAAAATATTTAAACATTCGATTTTAATTGAAAAAAAAAACAAAAACAAAACAAAACAAAACAAATAAAACCACCAACGCTATTAAAATCCTCAATATACCAAAAACAATCGCGTTTTAATCCTCATGGATTTTAATTAGCGTTAATTTGTCGCTTTTCTTACAAACGTTGTAATAATTATACATTAATACTACTTCTACTGCTACTAATAATAATAATAATAATAATAATATATTAAGTAATCGTTAGACAATAATAAATGACAGTATAAAAAATTCGGAACAATCGATGAGTACCTTTGGTAGGGCAATCGATTTTACAAATGCAAAGAAAAAAAGAAGAAACTATGACCAATATTTTCTCTTATCGACTATTATTCGACTAAAAATAAACTTTAACATATACACATATATATATATTTAACTATATATATATATATATATATATAGGACAAGTATATGTATCAATAAGTTGACAGGTCTAATATCATTTTCCATTCGCGCCGTTCTAAAAAACTTTTTGCTATCGATGTGTCCTCGTAAGTTGTTCTCAATTTCTAAACAACAGTGATAAAAGACTGTAATTACATTAATTAGCTTAAAACTTTTAGTCTGTCCAAATACATTGTTCTTTAAATTACACAAATACAAAAACACTTCTCTATATCTTTCTCTCTCACTCTCTCTCTCTCTCTCTTTCTGTCTTTCTATCTCTCATTCTCTCTCTCTCTCTCTCTCTCTCTCTCTTTCTTTCTTTCTTTCCATTTCTATGTATCTTCCATATTTTCTTTAACATTTAAATCAACAAAAAAAGAGAAATTATTTTTATAATGTAAAATTAAATTGAAATTATTGTTGTAACATTTTGAAAAACGAATATTGTTACATGTTCCTCGTAAATTGTCTCCTCTCAACTTCCCCCTCCCCTCCCCTCTCCCTCTCCCTCTCCCCCTCCTCTCCTCCCTCTTTTAATCAGGATGAGGATAAACCCCGTTTGGCTTCTTCTTTCACACATATTATACAGTGAGTCCAATTTTTATTTTCACCTTTTATATTAGATATATTTTTCGCGTTATTTTTGGTCATCTATCAAAAAAAAAAAAGATAGAAATTCTTTTTTTTTCTTTTTTTTCTTTTTTGGAAAAAAAAAGTACATTTTACAAATATCTTTGTCGTAGTGTGAGAAGTAAAAAAAGAAAAAAAAAAAAGAGATTTGTTTAAAACGAATGTGTTTTGAGATGAACAGTGTATATCGAATGAAAGCAAAGAAAAAAAATATTATTAATAATAATAATAATAATAATAATCTAGCAATAACACCAGCATGATTCACGAGAGGAGGAATGAAGATACAAATGATTGGACGATCTCTCAACATCTCAATGAAAGAGAAAGAGAATGAGAAAGAGAAAGAGAGAACACGAAAATCGTGAAAAAAAAAAAAACAAACATTCGTCGTTGAATACTCCGACCTGTCATTGGTACGTCACCCTAAGTGCACGTAATTCCAATAATTATTATAGTTATTATTATAATTATTACGTCATCGTCATCAACATTAGTATATTTATCAAATTCGATAAATAGAAAGAAGAAATATTTGTTCACATGATTAAACGCACACTTCTATCCGATTAATTCAATTATTATATTTAGATTTCGATCAAATTAGTCGTCGTTTTATTTTAGCATAGTTATAGTTAACGAAAATAAACAAAATAAATAAATAAATAAWTAACAATTAGCTTACTCTCCGTTAGCGCATGGCCTGTATTATATAAAAAAAAAAAAACAACAAAAAAACCATTGAAACGAGATCTACAAAAATGACAAATTATTCATTGTAATTGTGAATCGTGATTTTTCTTATTGTTATTCTTTCATTGATCATCAGGAACATCATCAAAATTATCCCATCGGTTATGGACCACCGGAAAACATTCAAATATCATATTCGAATGGTGATATTATGAAGATACCATTGGCTAGCATCAATATCAGCGAGGAAGTTAATAAAACTGGAATTTGGCAACAAGTTAATGAAAGTAACGAGAAAACTAAACAATCTAAATTAATGAAGTAAGTAAATCATTATTTATATATATATATATANCACCCCGCCCCCCGTCCCACCCCCTGCTGTCCCCTCTCTAATTTGATTATAATTTTGTTATGCCTAATCATAAGCAAATCGAAGAAACATTCAAAGAAGGATGGTTCGTTGCTGGTCGATGAGACAACAAGGCTGACGACCATGACAGAGGAAGACGAGGATGACACTGGCATATCGATCAAGGTGACGAGCGTAAATGACTCTAAATTCTAACAAGCATCATCACAGCAAGACACACAGCAAGAGCACCAATACACCGGCATGCGACATACCCCATATACCACAGGCTGTGAGTAAAAGTTACGAAAGAGGGTAGCATGACTTTTTTTTTTTTGGTTCTTTACCCTCTCGCGAGTCGATTCATTCGAGGAGAAGTGTTTTTTTTTTATTTCTTCTTTCCCTTTTCTTCTTTTTCTTGTTCTTCTTCTTCTTCTTCTTCTCCTCAATGACGGATTAGATTTACTATTCGCGAACTATACTTATCTCTAACACTTAAACTTAAAACTTCTTAAAATCGATATCTTTACATTTTTGAATCATGACCTTTTTCATACTTTCCAACCCCCCCCCCCCTTTTCTTTCCATTCGTTATTATACTTTACATATTTGATAGTACCATAAAGTATGTTATATACAGTTCAGTTCCTTGAATATTTCTATCAATAAATACACTTCGTACAGTACGAAATAGATAGATACGAATAGTATACTTACTATAGTTTCGATTAAACTTTACACACTAGTCTTTACAGTTATCCCTTATACAGTTATCATATAATAATGTATATAATTATTTATCGAATGGTTTTCTTCTTTTTTTTTTCTTCATCATCATCATCATCATCATCATCATCATCGTAGTTAGTCTTTCTTTTTATATTTGAAATCCATTGTAGTTACAATATTCACGATTATCTAATCGTATCACTCAATTGCACTTTCAAACTTTGCATGTTACTACATTCCTTTGATTTTTTTTTTTTATATTCATTTAAATACTAGCATGGCTTTTATATTTAAATTATACTAATAGTTTAATCATATAAATAATTAATCCTTTACACTCCGCTGTTTCACCGTATGATAGATCGTGATTCTAGTTTATCACTCCGATGTCTCAATGTATGAGACATTCAAGTTGATTAGTGATTACAGGGAATGAAATTATTTCAGCAGAACTTTTTACGAGATATGCATGTTTTTCCCTGATGTTTTTTCTTAAAATAGCACAAAACATCGAATTAAAATATAATAAAATAACAAAGATATATAAAAAAAAGTGTCAACGGGTTTTGTGTTCTAAGAGAATGCGAGACGCGTGCTCACGCGTGGTACGAGAACGTTTTTGACGAAACTTGAGAAGAACGATAAGAAAAATTTGTAAAAGAAATGTTTTTATAGAAGCACATCTCGCATTTTACAGTGAGATTTATAATGTATAAAAAAATATTATCAAATAGTATCACATTTCAAATACCAATGGAACGCGCTTGACTTTTATTTCAATTGCAACGCTATTATACATATACATTCTTCTTGGTAAATAAGTTCTTTTGGTAAAAGTTTTTTAGGTAAATATGTTCCTTGATGTTTACAGATTAATATAAGTCCAATATCATTAGAATCCGTTATTTGGTTCCTAAGTTATACTAAATAATACGAGGGTCTGTATAAATGTGCCATTTATGTGGTACGAAGTAGCTGCTATTCAACGTTGAGAATCGTGCGAAGTGCAAAGGGTTAATTCAATGTAACATTTAATTCATTGAAATTATTACAAAGTTGTAACATTTTCTTTTTTTCTTCTTCTGAAAGTGGAAATCTTCTACCGAATGTTTCATTTCTTTTTTCTGATATAGAAAGAGAGAGAGAGAGAGAGTGAGAGAATTCTCATCAACGAGTATCGATATAAAAAAATTCTAATAAAATAAAACAAATTTCAGTATATATATATATATATATATATATATATATACAAGTTTCTATCAATTTTTAGGTAGATCTGATAAGATCGAAGGAGAGTATCGGCCCAGTGAAAGTAAATGGCACTACATCGGCAGAAACATCTGTTTAACGATTTATCAATTATATTTTGTTTTCTTTTTTTTGTTTTTTTTTTTTTATCATCATTTTCATTTTCATAATCAAAAAGTATATTACATTATATTATATTATATATATACATATAATACATACATACATAATATTTCGTAAATTTGGTAAAATTTTAAAAAAGTATTAAGAAAAATACAAAAAAAAAAATAAAACATGTAATTATTTTTCAGGTGAAAAAAAAAAAGAAAAGATGATTTTTTATATAAGATACGAATTAGATAAGATGAAAAATTATGACTAATTATAATTTGCATTTTAAATATATATTTAACAAATGTTCACACTAATTAAATATAACACGTATATTAAAATGGTACGACGAAATTTTCGCGAATTGTATAATTAAAAATATTGCTTTAGTTTTTTGTTTTGTTCATTCAAAGTAAATCAAAAAAGAAAAAAAAAATTCATTTTATAATGAACGTCGATCATCATACAATCGTACGTTGTTAAATAGAAAAATCAAAAGTTTATTTTATACGATAGTATTAATTTAAGACTTGTTTCAAATGAAATAATAATTCAATCAAATTTGAAATAATTTCTGATAAATCAAAAAAAAAAAACAAAAAAAAACAAATGAAAGAAAGAAAGAGAAACTGAAGAAACATTTTTTTTTTTTGCAATAGTATTTACACATTACATACGCGTATTTGATCGCATTATTCATTTTGTATACAAATTACAAGCATACAAATATATATATATGTATATGTGCCGATTAATTATGAACAGTGATATTAAAAGTTAATAAATAATTTGTTAAAATATATATTTTACAATTTATTTTATATTAATATAAAATAAATCGTAGAATGAATTTTGTTCAATATTAAATCAACATTTATAATTAAGTCAACACAAGTCATAATTATCGGTACATATAATTTAACCGGTAAGTACTATATAATATAGTACATACTACTACTACTACTACTACTACTACTACATAGAACATACATGAATACGCAAAAAATAAAACTATCACATTGATTCGTTGATAAACCGACAATACTTTTATGCTTCTTTTCATGTTACAACATCACGATTAGATTTTATCGAAGTTTTAAATAATCAAGTGATTATTGATTAGGTTTGATAGAAGAAAAATGTGAATTGTTATTGTTAAACGACGACGACAACAGTTTTTTTTTTTTTTTTTAAACTGTGTAATACAATTAATAAGAAAGAAAAATGAAAAAAAAAAAAAAATGAACATTTGTTTCGAATTGTGTTAGTTAGAGTGCGAATAAATCGAACGTTTCATGAAACCCAACATACCGATGAATTAAACGTTTAAAGTTTATTCACCATTTTAGAGACTTACTTAGAACAATTTTAAGATTTAAGAGGCTGAATGTATATACTATATATATATATATATGTATGAATAAAAAAAAAAAAGAACAAAAAAAAAAAACAACCAGACATTTTTGAAGAGAATGTAAAAAATGCAGCGTTCAAAAATGAGAAAACGCAAAATTCCATACAATCGATGTATTCATATTTGTCGTAGTTTATTTATAAATTATGTTCTGAATAACGAATGACAAGAATTCTGATTCGTACCTTCCTTCATTAATTTTTTTTTTTATCCATTATAATCTCAACTAGGGGTGTCCCGAACTAACAGAAATAATCATGACTCTTTATTAATAAACAAATAATATTGCGATTATAAATTGAGATATAAACTATCCTATCTTTCAAGTTGGATGAAACTGCATAAAGTGTGTAAAATTTGATTAAAATCAGTTCAGTAGTTTAGGAGTCCATTGCGGACAAACAACGTGACACGTAATTTATATATATATATATATTAAGATGAGCGTGCAAATGTAGCTATTGCAATAATATTTCTAAAATGTAATATTAAAAAGGTGGGACACTTTTAATCCCATCGTATCCCAAAGAGTTAAATAAATTGTTTAAATAACAATTATTATGATTTAATGATCGATAATATAATATTGACATTTCAATTTGACAAGACAATGTGTATAAATCCTTCGTTTTCTTTCCTTTTGAATAATATTTTATTTAACATTATAATTGACGAAGAAGGATTAGAATCTACGTAGGATATAAAATGCCTTGTAACATTTTTTTATTCACAAAATATTTGAAATACATTTGAAATAAACATTTTCTTTTATTTATTTATTTATTATTATTATTATCATTATCGATAACGAGATTATTTTGCGATAATAAACGCAATAATAAATTTTCGATCTTCGACGTTTTTTTTTTTTTTTTTTTATAAAACAAAAATATTTAAGTATGACGTATTATTTATATGTAATTCTAACTGAAAGATCGATCATATTATTTTTTATAATAAACTAATCAAGAGAGAGAGAAATATATATATATACTTATATGTATACGTATAACTATAACATAATTCATTTTAAAAATTAGAGTGCAAGTATGGTACAAATTATTTCTAGATGTTTTCAGTGCACTTCAAAGGCCACAAATTACAGCCCGGCGAATTATAATAATAATTATTATTATTATTATTATTTTTGTTTTGTTAATTTCAACTTGTTCCTTGTAACAACAACACGTAGAACTAAATTATATTCGTACTTTTAATTTATTAATTTTTTTTCTGTTTTTTTTTTTTTTTTTTTTCTTTAAAACCTGTATATTTATATTTGTGATCTTAATATACTTGGTCTGATCGTAAAAAGAACATTTCTCGAAACATTCGACGACTAAACACCTTTATTTATTTAAAAAAGTAGTTTATAAAAAATATATATGTATATATTTTTCTTCTTTGTTGTTTACTCGAGAAACAAGAATTTGTATTATTTATTAATTTTATATTCCTCTCGTGTCGATCCTAACAATTTTTAATACTCTCGTGTCTTCCAAACGTTTAAGAAAAAATCCTTTTTTTTCTTTTTTCCATTTCTCTCCTTCCTCATTTTTTT